TATTCTTACCTAATACATCACAACTTGAAGAACAATTGTTTTTATTTTTTATGTACTTTGAATAATAAAAAAGAGAATGAATTGTTACAGGTGCTAGTAATATTTTTATGGCGGCAATTGGCTTTTTGAACAAAAGTCGGTTTGCGCTTGCCCCAATTTGCACATTGTACAAATAGGAAAAATCATACATGGATATCATACATTATAGGAATATATACATAATTTGCGTACTTATGACTTTGCGAGGAACACCTGTGGTGTACGTAACACCCTGTATATAAAGTAAGCCTAGATTTCGGCTTCATTTGTATGCGACAAAAGTATGCAATTTTACTACTGAAAATGTATTTTTTTACCTATAGATATACCACAGGGAGCCCAAGCGTTGATCTGTGTTAGTGTTGTATGTTTTTCAGTTTATTTATTTTAGTGTCTTTATATTGTCTTTTAATTGAATTATAACACTAAATTACACTAATATGTCATAGTAATAATACTCCTATAGTCGAACATATAATAACAACATATAAGTTGATTTGTATTTGTATGTTTTTCAGTTTATTTAGTTAAGATCTATTATTAGCTTATATAAAAGCACCGGCTTTCGAACCTGACAGCCCGTTCGCAGGCATACCTAATTTTAAGAATTTTTTATCACTGCACATTTTATGGCAAAAATTTCCGAATGACTAAGAAAATTTCAGAATATTCGGAAATTTTTGGCGACCTCCCCCCCAGCCCCCGCCCCCCCCCCCGTCGCCAAAAAAATTTTGGTCAGTGTACCATTTTAAGGGTCAAAAATTTTTTCCGGACATACCAAAAGCCAGATATTAACTAAAAATTGCCTGAATCTCATGATTTTCGTACAAAAAACATATACTATTATTTAATTCGCTAATTTGGCAGTCATCATTTCAATTTCAATTGAATCATTCTCTTGTGTTAATTAACAACTTATCAAAGCAAATTTTATCACTGCACATTTTACATTTTATCACTGCACGTTTTACTTTTATCACTGCACAAATTGGTTATCACTGCACACTAAAATTAGGTATGTTCGCAGGATACACGCGTTATTTCGCACTGAAATAAGAAATGTGACAAGGGATGAAATTACAACACGGCGATGTTTTATTTTGAAGCCGTATGTGCTTGTTAAAACGAATTTTAGCTTGAAATTCGGCCACATGATATGTCTAAGGCTAAAGTACATAGCCATTGAAAAATTTTGTGAAATAAAAGCCCTAGAGTCTTATAAATTGCTATAGTTTTTAATAGCGACGTTTCGCCCAGACTTGACTGGACCTAATGTATTTAATTTTTAATTTAAAACATTGAAACCGTTACGGTCGACAGAAATTGGCTTCTCACCTTGAGTTGTATTCGAGTTTGCTTCCTTGTTTATATCATTGATTCCTAAATGTTGACGGCGTTATTCGACACGACACTCATTGCATAATTATCGGTCCACTCAAGTCGGGGCATTCATAATACGACAAAATTTAAGAGTTTCATCCCTTGTCACGTATATTTATATTGTTGCCGCCCCCTATTTCAAATCCCGCGCGTATCCTGCGTCAGGTTCGAAAGGCGGTGCTTTTATATAAGCTAATAATAGATCTTAAATAAATAAACTGAAAAACATACAAATACAAATCAACTTATATGTTGTTATTATATGTTCGACTATAGGAGTATCATTATTATATGACATATTAGTGTAATTTAGTGTTATAATTCAATTAAAAGGCAATATAAAGACACTAAAAAAAAATAAACTGAAAAACATACAACACTGAACACAGATCAACGCTTGGGCTCCCTGTGGATATACGAATGATCTTGTCATAAAAACTCCACTTTTTTACGGATGCACCCAGAAATTTTTGAAACATATCCTTACTTGTTGTAAACGTTTCTTTATGGAATTTAAAATTAAATTCGTATAAATTATAAAAGCTGCGAAACTTGTTCTGAAAAACAAATTGCAAAATGACAGTTAAAATTCTGACGTGCATTAATTAAAAGTCAAATTTTTATCTTTTTTAATCATGGGTTTCAGTTACCAGTCCACTATTGAATTGTGCTTGCGCGTGCGCATAAAGTAGAAAACTGCCCAACGTCCATGACATAATTGTAGACGACTTTCCACTTCGCTATGTTCTCGCATACCCGAGGAAAAATGCCCGTGCGGAATTAGTACCCTCGCGACGGGTTTCGCAAGTGGCTCGGGGATAATGTCAACTTCATTATTCTTGGGAAGTGTGTCCAAAATGAACACAAATGTGTGATGCATGCTTCTGCGACAGAAATAAACATAAAATGGAGGATACTGAGCTAATAGCCTTCAGTAAAGTATATTTTTAAAATTAAAACACCTTCAGTTCGAAATTAACTGAATATGCAATTTCACACTGTTTTTTAATCGAAACGTTTTTAACACATTACCTGCTATTGAACACCCTCCGATGAATCTGATGACATTGGGGTGTGGAATCTTGTTGATTTCTTTCAAGATATTCAGCTCAGATAGCAGATCTGAAAGATCAGATTCACTTGCACCATCTAAGAAATAAACACTGGTTAATTGGTAAATCTAAATTCTAACTGGTAAATCTAAATTCCTTTGCATGATGAAAAATTCTTTTTACATTAATGTCATGAATATCTACAAAAATAGGGTACAAGGCTTTGTATTAATAACAGATCAATTATTATTATTATTATTATTATTATTATTATTATTATTATTATTATTATTATTATTATTATTATTATTATTATTATTATTATTATTATTATTATTATTATTACTATTATTATTATTATTATGGCATCCAGAAAGACATCCAGAAAGGACATGACATCCATGACATCCAGAAAGATTTTACCCCAAACGTTGCAGGAACTGTTGAACATACAGCCCATATGGCGCACATAATCAACACAGCCCGTATAAAACAAAGGTCACTCGTAATCACTTTACTCGATCTGAAGAATGCATTCCGTGAACTACATCACAACCTTATTTACAAAGTTCTTCAATATCATCATATACCCGATCCTATAAATGAACTAATCCCGAGTCTTTATACTAACTTCCAAACATCTATTATAACTGAAAAATTCAGTACCCCTTTCATTACCGTCGGCCGTGGCGTTTTACAAGGTGACTGCCTTAGTCCACTCCTTTTCAATATGTCCTTTAATACCTTCGTACAACACATTAAATCTGAATTATTCCTGCAGCTTGGTTTTTGGAAATTTAATAAAACTGGTATTCCGTGTAATCCAATTCATTGGTTCCAGTTTGCAGACGACGCGGCTGTCATTAGTAGCCAAGAAAAAGAAAATCAAATCCTACTCAATCGCTTCTCGGTATGGTGTCAATGGGCCAATATGATTATACGTGTTGACAAGTGCTCTACGTTCGGTATTAAAAAACACTCATCTAAATCTGTTCAATATCAACCTAAATTGTTTCTTAACCACCTACTTGTACCCCGTACCGAAACTGGTGAATCTATCCGCTACCTTGGTCGTTATTTTAATTTCAACATGTCAGATGAAAAACACCAATCGGATATATGTGACTTGTTTAATAATATTATATCAAAAATAGATGAATTAGATTTGCACCCCCGAAATAAAATCCTGCTATACAGTCGCTACTTGCTCTCGAAAATCTCATGGGACTTCACAATAACTGATATATCTCAAACATGGGTTTGCGAGACTTTGGACGGTATTGCTACTAAATATATACGAAAATGGCTCGACCTGCCAATATCTGCAACTCTAAGCAATGTCTATCTCCCTTACAACAAATTTGGTTTAAATGTCATTCTACCTTCAACGAAATTTATACAGTGCCAAACTGTCTCACGCTCAGCTTTAAAGTCATCGATAAATGAAAACATACGTGAATTATGGTCAATAACAAGCACCAATAGGAACATTCAGTACGACATTTACTCAAACACAAAAGATGTATTGAAGGCATTTACACAAAAAAATGAACAGCGACTACAAAATAACCTAATGTCACAAGGTTCTTTTTTCTCAAACATCGTGAAAAACTCCACGTTGGCATTCAATTCCCAATGGTCATCGGTTCATTCAAAACTTCCTAAGAACATATTTAACTTCAGTCTACGTTACATCAACAATTCTTTACCTACTAGGAAAAACCTAGTTAAATGGGGTCTGTCATCATCTGCTGACTGTTCGTTCTGCTTCTGCCCTGAATCTCTTTTGCACGTAATCTCTGGATGTAAAACATATCTAAACGAAGGGAGATATACATGGCATTGCGTCCAGCCTTCTCGACGTTGGAAGGTCCAAAATGTATGTAGATCTGCCTGGATTTATTAGCCCATCTGTCATCACTGGTGACGAGTTACGACCAGACCTTCTATTGACAATTGAAAATAAGATTTTGTACATTCTAGAATTAACTGTTGGTTTCGAAACAAACCTGAAAACTAACTCAGATCGAAAACATGAAAAATATTTGACTCTAATTAGCGATCAAGAAAATATATATGACGAAGTTAAGTTTGTTAATGTATCTATAAGCTCTTGATGTGTATTTGGTGAATCGACGAATACTTTATTTGATATGCTCCATGATCTGAAGTACGACGAACAACGTATTAAATATGTAAAGAAGAAAATAATTGCTACTTGTATTCGCACGTCTTATTATATATTCTGTAGACGAAACAAAGACTGGAACAACTCGGAACTTTTAAACTTTTAACTAAATTTAAAAGATTTTCGCCTGTATATATATTTTAGTTTTTGTATTCAATTCAAGTGGCCATCGATAAGCTACCTTTTATTAAGTGAGGTTTATCAATGTATATATAGTATATCGTAAATATCTAATAAAAAGTTTCCATTATTATTATTATTATTATCATTTCAATATTTAGGACGTTACTTTGATTTCCACATGTCGAACGACTGAACTAACCTCCCTACTTAATGAACTAATGTCTGATATTGACTCAAAGCCACTACACCCCAAAAATAAACTGCTCCTCTACAGTCGCTACGTCTTGTCCAAGTTAGCCTGGCACTTTACAGTCGCAACACTCTCTAAAACATGGGTTACTAAAAATATCGATTCTATTGCCAACAAATATATCCGCAGATGGCTTGAAGTACCAATATCAGGAACACTAAGTACTGTCTTTCTAACAAATAACAAATTTGGCCTGAGTATTTATCCTCCATCTGTAAAATTTATCCAGTGTCAAACAGTCCTCCGAAAAGCTTTAAAATCTTCTCCTAATGAATCAACTAACGACCTGTGGAGAGCAACCAGTAACCATACTAATATCCAATATGACGCTTATAACTCTACTAAGGAAGTTCTCAAAGATTTCGGTTCTGGACACGAAAACAAACTCCTAAACCAATTAACCCGTCAAGGATCCTTTTTCTGCAGCATCACGAAGTTCGCTTTACCTCAGATTAATAAGGTGTGGTCCATCGCCCAATCAAAGCTTCCGAAAAACATTTATAACTTTACCATTCGTTACATTAACAACTCTCTTCCGACGCGCAAAAACCTAAACAGATGGGCAATATCTTCAAATTCAGACTGTTCTTTTTGTCTTAGCCCTGAAACATTACTACACATACTAGTAGCTGGATGTCAGTTTTATCTCGACCGATTTACGTGGAGACACAATTCAGTCCTGAACTTTCTTGCTCATACTTTACAAACTGTTGACGGTTCTACTCTCTACGCTGATCTAAATGGATTCAAAAGCCCTTCAATACTTACTGGTGATACGTATCGCCCAGATTTGTTATTATCGTGCTCAAATGGTTCCTTATATGTGGTTGAACTCAACACTGGTTATGAGACAAACCTCAAAAACAACGTAAAGCGGAAGAAGAGTAAATATAGAGAATTATTGAGACAGCTAGGTAAAAATTTTAACCAAGTTAAATTTATAAATCTCTCCATCAGCTCTTTAGGTATTTTTGCAGAAGAATGTTATACATTTTTAGACATGTTAGAAAGCATTGGTCTTGACAAAAACCACCAAATGTACTGCGTTAGGAAAATGATGACTATTGCTATTAGAACTACATATTACATTTTTTGCTGCCGAAATAAGGAATGGGAAAATCTGGATTTACTAACAATTTGACTTATCTCATTGTATATATATATTGCATGCACTTTGTTCTGTTATTTTAGTTTAGTATAATTGTGATTCAAATAGCCAACCGTAAGTTACCTTTATGAGAGAGATTTACGATTGTATATGTATGTAAAGAAAAACATTTAATAAAGTTTCAAAAAAAAATAAATTATTATTATTGTTATTATTATTATTATTATTATTATAATTATTATTATTATTATTAATATTATTAATAATTATTATTAATAATAATAATTATTATTATTATTATTATTATAATAATAATTTTCCTTCCTCGCATCCAATAACTTTATCGAACACGGCATACAAAAGGGCTTCACCCTTAGCAGTTGGGGATTGTCTTCTAGTTCAGAATGTTCCTTTTGTCTCGGCCCAGAATCATTATTGCACGTGGTCGCTGGATGTCAGTGTTATCTCGATCGATTTACGTGGAGGCACAATTCAATCCTGAACTTCCTTGCCAATACCTTGCAAACTGTGAACGGTTCTGCCCTCTACGCTGATGTGCCTGGATTCAAAAGTCCGTCAATAATAACTGGTGATACGTATCGCCCGGATTTGTTGCTATCGTTATCAAATGGCTCTCTTTATGTGGTCGAGCTCACTGTTGGCTATGAGACAAACCTCGAGAACAACGTTAATCGGAAAAAGCCAAATATAAAGAACTAGTAAAACAACTAGACGAAAATTTTAACGAAGTAAACTTTAAAAATCTTTCTATGAGCTCCCTAGGTATTTTTGCGCAAGAATGCTCTACATTCTTAGAAATGTTAGGAAATGTTGGTCTGGACAAAAACTACCAAACGTACTGTGTTGGGAAAATGATGAAGTACATACTATATTTTTTGCTGCCGAAATAAGGAATGGGAAAGTCCGGATTTTTTAACTATTTGAAATATCTGATTGTCTTGTATATTTATATATTTTCATGTATTCTGTCTTATCATTTTTATTAGTTCATATAGTTGTGATTCAAATAGCCAATTGTAAGTTACCTTAAATTAGTGAGATTTACAATTGTATATATATAGTATATAACAAAATTATTAAAGTTTCCATTATTATTATTATTATTATTATTATTATTATTATTATTATTATTATTATTATTATTATTATTATTATTATTATTATTATTATTATTATTATTATTATTATTATTATTATTATTATTATTGTCAATTTGGTTTCTCCTTACAGTTTCTAAAACCCATCCATTGGTTTCAGTTTGCTGATAATGCCGCCGTCATAAGTAGTCAAGAATCCGAAAATCAACATCTTCTAAACCGGTTCTCCATTTGGTGCCAATGGTCCAACATGATTATTCGTGTTGATAAATGTAGTACCTTTGGCATCAAAAAAGCTCTAACAAAATCAACCCAATACCTGCCTAAACTACTTATTAACAAGCAACTAATTCCAAAGATCAATATCGGTGAGGCTTTTCAATACTTAGGAAAATACTTTAGTTTTAATATGCCAGACGAACACCACAAGTCTGAACTAATCTCACTCGTTGAAGAACTAATGGCAGATATTGATTCCAAACCAATACATCCAAAAAATAAAATCCTCCTCTATACAGTCGATATCTTCTGTCAAGATTATCCTGGCATTTTACAGTTTCTAGCGTATCGAAAACGTGGGTCACCGAAAACATTGATTCCAAAGTCAACAGTTAATTATATCCGTAAATGGCTTGATATACCTATATCTGGAACGCTAAGCATTGTTTTCCTAACCCGCAACAAGTTTGGCCTCAGTATTTGTCCCCCATCTGTCAAATTTATTCAATGTCAAACTGTTCTCCGTAAAGCCCTAAAAACATCCCCAAACGAAGCAATTAACGATCTTTGGAAAGCAACTAGCAATAGCAAATATATTCAGTATGACGTTTATAACTCCACTAAGCGAGTTCTTAAGGACTTTTGCTCTGGACAAGAGGGTAAACTGCATACTCAATTAACCTGTCAAGGCTCTTTCTTCATTAATATAACAAAGTTCTCACTGTCCCAACTCACTAAAATTTGGTCTGCGTGCCAATCGAACCTTCCGAAAAATATATTCAACTTTACAGTTCGATACATCAATAACTCCCTTCCAACGCGCCAAAAACTTGCAAGATGGGGTTTATCACCAACTTCAGACTGTTCGCGATGTCTAGCTCCTGAAACACCTCTGCACGTAGTAGCTGGTTGCCAGTCGTATCTAGAACGATTCACGTGGAGACATGACTCCGTTCTAAACTTTCTCGCAATAAGCCTGCAGACCGTAAGCGGCTCACATCTTTACGTGGATCTTCCAGGGTACAAAAGTCCATCAATCATCACTGGTGACAACTACCGTCCAGATTTTCTACTTTCAACCTCAACTGGAACACTCTATATTGTTGAACTTACAGTTGGCTTCGAATCAAATCTTCAAAAAAACGTTGAGCGTAAACAATCAAAATATAAAGAATTAATTAGGGAACAAAATGAACATTTCAACTCAGTAAAATTTGTAAATCTTTCGATTAGTTCTCTTGGTGTTTTCAGTAAAGAATGTTGTACTCTCATAGAAATGCTTAATGATTTTGGTTTTCAAAAGCAACATCAGAATTACTGTATTAGAAGAATGACGACGATTGCAATCCGAACAACGTATTATATATTTTGTTGTCGAAACAAGGAATGGATGAATCCGGAACTGTTAACTGTTTAAACGTTGTACTGTCATTTTGTTATCTTAATAGTATAATTTTTGTATATATAATCAGTGATTTAAGTAGCCAGTTGTAAATTACCTGATATAAGTGAGATTTGCAATTGTATATATAAACTAAATATCCATTTAATAAAGTTTTCATTATTATTATTATTATTATTATTATTATTATTATTATTATTATTATTATCATTATCATTATTATTATTATTATTATTATTATTATTATTATTATTATTATTATTATTATTCATGTTTAAGAATATTCACCATCGCATAAATTTGAATTGCGGCGAATTTACAACTAAGTATTTAATTACTATATTAACAATAATAAGGATTATAAAGTTAAAGTATATTAAAACGTTACTTTCTACTTATATAAAATCTATATTTACTTAAATGTTGCTACTGTCATTAAAAATAGCCACAGTGCTCGGAAAGAAGCTGCGGTGGGGTACAGGGGCGGATCTAGGATTTTTCGCACGTTAGTCAAAATTTTATGACGTCATCGATGACGCAAAACGCAATGACGTCATTTGATATCAGGATGATAGTCCAATTTTTGTGGAAGTATAGATATTTTGTTTTATCAAACTACAAATGCGTAAACGACATAATTTTCGTACCTGCCAATGTTCAGCATATGATATATTAATATATAGACTGTTTCGCCCTACAGTGTATACCTTGGCTCAGAAGCATGCCTAGGAAACACGTTTACCAAAAATAGTAAACCGTGATCCAACAAGGGCAGCTCCTTGAAAAAGCTGATCACAAGCACAGGTTTCTGGCTCCTTAAAAGCAAATTGCTTGCCTTCACACCTTTTGCAAGAGCAAAAGGAGTTTGGCTAGAACTTAGAAATGGTGACAATAAAATAAACAATGAATACCACCTAAAATGAGCAATCTGGTTTTAAGGTGCCATAAACCCACCTCATACCTTTCACCGCAGCAAAAGGAGCTTGGTTAAAAATGAGTGACAATACGGGACATTTCATGGATGTGAAATTGCCCAGTTTTTCCCTTTAGCCCCTTCCCCAGTCCTCCTATTACTAACCTATGTCTAATCTAACTAAAATTCATCATCTTGTTATATACTGTCCACTATGAAAATGTATAATATCGCAAGTGAAATGGTGCCTCAAAGCTGCAGCTTCAGTGGAAGGCAACTTTTATTGAAAACAAGTTTATTTTACCTAGCATTTTAAACATATTTTAATCACAGTGGATTCAAATACAAAATATTTCATAACAAATGACTATTACTTTACTTATCTAGTTATCTGAAATATTAAATTGGCAAGGTTTTTAACACAGTATTCTATTATCCCTATACTATGCTTATACATACTGTATATAGACAGTCACATACTATCAACATGGAGTTTGTCTCTCAGGGCCTGAAATAATGTTCCCAAAGTTCCCGATCATGGTGATCGGCAGTCATGACTTGCCCTGCTTTTTCAGGTTGGAAACCCTGCTTTTCTGCCGATCATAAGCAATTTCTTGCCTATTATTGATTGGTGATCAGTTGTTATTTCAAGCCCTGGTCTGTTGAAAAATTTAACTGGTTCAAGATGCAATGGACCTGTCTCAAGCCAATTCAGACCCGATACTTGGCATCAGCTTTTGTCTAGAAAGCCCGAATGGTTGGGGGGGGGGGGGATTATGGGAAGGTGGTGATCTTGATCGGCTAAGTTTGGTTGATGATGAAGAACCAAACCCCAGGAAGTTTTTTCTCATGTCTGTGTTGTGTACAAGAGTGAGGTTATTAATTGCTATTGGAGGCGAGAGTGGTCTTTTTGCAAGCCGAGATATTTAACTTTAACAGTTTAACCACATGTTCCAGAAAATTTATCAATAACGTTTCCTACAGTACATATGTTAGGAATAATTTCCTGGTGAATTTGCATCATGACCAAGCCAAGTCATTTAATTTAAGTAGTCTTCAACCATAGTGCTTCGCTTATAGCCT